CCCCCCCCCCCCCCCCCGGCCCGGCGGGCCCCCGGCAGCCCGGCGGCCAAACCTCCAACCACCACCGCGCGCTCGTAAAACATCCTGGCACGTGCTCCGCGCTCACGACGCAGGACAGATGATTAAGTGGCACATTTTGAAAACCGCGGAGCCCCCGCGCGAGCCCAGTAGTGATGTGGAGACTGGGGGGGGTGGGGGGGTGGGGGGGGGTCGGTCCCCGTCAGGGTCAGCCAGACTACGGCTCCGGTTTCTGTTTGTTGTTTGTTTGTCGTTTTTTTTTTTGTGTGTGCGTGCGTCAGGACCTGGGTTCACCCCTCTCGTGGTCCACTCGCGTGCTTCTCGACTTGTCATGAGTTGTCATCCTGAGTTTGTTTCCCTTTCCAGATGTGATTAGAGCTGTGACTTAAGTTTGGATCCGAAAACTAAACTCCTTTCAGCCGAGACCAGAAGCTAAAAAGCAGGGTGTGTGTGTGCGTGCGCGTGGGGGGGAGGTGGTGGTTCTACCAGACTTAACGAGGCACTGATGCCCTGGCAACCGTAAGTTGGTCTATAACTGTTCCGCGTTGCCGTGGTTCTGGTTTTAGTGGCCTGTTGGTCGGGCTGTCTCATTTGATTCCCAGCTGTTATCTCGCGTCTGGCTGATAAGAGCCTCTCCCCCCCCCCCCCCCCCCCCCCCCCCCCCCCCCCCCCGCGTGCTCCTGGCGGCGGCTCTCAGTCAGCGGGCTCCGCTGCTAATGCGGAAACGGCGCGCGGACGCAGGGCTCGAGGCAGTTTCCCCGGCTGCGCCCTGGACCCGAGCCGCGCGCGCCATTGGCCGCCGGCTCCGGGCGGCCGGACAGCCAATGGGAGGGCGCCGACCACGAGCCCGTCCTCCCCTCGGGCCGCGTGTCCCTCGCCCTGATTGGCTGAAAGTTACTGTGGGAAAGAAAGTTTGGGAAGTTTCACACGAGCCGTTCGCGTGCAGCCGGAGATATAAATACGAGCCACACGCGGAGAGCCCGACAGAGACGGACTGCCCCCCCCAGCCGCCGGTAGCCGCTGCGCGCGCCGCTCTGACGGATTTCTAACGCCACACTCAGGATTTTTTCTCTCTATTTCCACAGAGAAGGGAAGCGTGACTTTTTAGCTGCTGATCCGCATTCACGTCCGACCTCGTGCGCGAGTGGATCGTAATTGACTGTGATTTCGTGGGATATTTTTTGATTTAAAAGAAAAATAAAAGAAAGAAAGAGAAGATGCCTGCCGATATGATGGAAAAAACCTCCTCCTCCCCTGTCGCTGCCACCCCGGCGAGCATGAACACAACCCCCGACAAACCCAAGACAGCCTCAGAGCACAGAAAGGTTGGTATGATGAGAACCAGTGGTCAGAGAAAAAAAGCTCTGTGGTCTCAGTTTGGTCACAGTTTGTGTTTAGCGAACGGTGTCCAAAAAGCGAGGATTTTCTTCTTGCTTTCAGGCAGTGATCTGCTGATTCTTCTTCTTTTTTTTTAAACAGTTTTGTCTTTTTTTCTCTTTTTACCACCAGTCGTCAAAGCCAATAATGGAAAAGAGGAGGAGAGCCCGGATCAACGAGAGCCTGGGCCAGCTCAAAACTCTCATCCTGGATGCTCTCAAGAAAGATGTAAGTTTCTCGGGTTTGCTGCTGTTTTTGCTGGATTTGGGAAAACGATCCGCGTGAGACGCGGCGAGAAAAAAATAAAGAGCGCGCGTAATGCTAACCAGGTGCGCGTTGCGTCTCCGCAGAGTTCCAGACACTCCAAGCTGGAGAAGGCGGACATCCTGGAGATGACCGTCAAGCATCTCCGGAACCTCCAGAGGGCTCAGATGACCGGTACGTTTCATTTCCCCAAACCGATGCGTGCGTGTGTGTGTGTGAACCCTTTACCGGTAGCTGCTGTGTAGAATGCGTAAAAACCAGCGAGAGCCCACGCGCTTCCCTCTGACTTAAATCTACCTGTCTGTTATCTCTAGCTGCCCTGAACACCGACCCCACGGTCCTGGGGAAGTATCGCGCCGGGTTCAGCGAATGCATGAACGAGGTCACCCGGTTTCTGTCCACCTGCGAGGGGGTCAACACCGAGGTCCGCACGCGGCTGCTCGGCCACCTGGCCAGCTGCATGACCCAGATCAACGCCATGAACTACCCCAGCCAGCATCAGCACCAGCACCAGCTGCCCCCCTCCGCCGGGCCCACGCACCCCTCCTTCGGCGGGTCGATGGCGCAGATCCCCAGCGCGTCCCCGCAGGTGCTGCCCATGAACCCGGTCTCCTGCAAGGGGGGCTCCCCGCCCGCCGCGCTGCCCTCGGACGGCACCAAAGTGTACGGCGGCTTTCAGATCGTGCCTGCCACCGACGGACAGTTCGCCTTCCTCATCCCCAACGCGGCCTTCGCGCCCAACGGCCCCGTCATCCCCGTGTACGCCAACAACGTGGGCACGCCGGTGCCCGTCCCGGCGGCCGTGTCCCCCGGAGCCCCCTCAGGGAACACAGACTCAGTGTGGAGGCCGTGGTGAAAAGTAAAAAAGAAACGAGAAAAAAAAAGACTCTGAAACGACACTTATTAGTTTCCTCCTCGGTGAATGATAGAAACTTGTTTTAAATCCGTTTTTTCTTGTAAAAATGAAACGAGTATGCACTATATTTGTACAGCTAACAAGGGAGTAAAGTTCATATTGAAATGGGATTTGTATTGTGGAAGTCCGTTCACTGCATTTTTTTATATATATATTTGAGTTGTCTTTTTTTTTCCTTTTTCTTTTTTTACTGTGTGACGCCAAAGATATGTTTAATGCTCTTACGCTGTTCTTCGTTTTGGAAGACAAATAAATTTGTAAAGAGATGAAAAGCAAGCATTGTTCTCCCTTGTTTATGGTGAAATAACACCTGATCTGCTCCTCAGTTTTCAATGTGGGATCGTTTCCATCAGGTTTATGTAGCCTCCACTCCAGGCACCGACAGGTCTGCGGGCTTCTGTTAGGTCAGGCATCAGAGTCTGTTCTGTCTAAATTAAAACTTTTAACAGCCAGGAACTAACACAAAACATTTGAAATAACTTTATTTAGCAATGCTGCATAGACACAATAAAAGGGGACACAATCTTGACAAAGCTCTCACCCCACTTCACCTTTTGATGAAAAGTTTTGAAGCGTGCCGCTGGACCCTCTGTTTCCCAGTCTGCCGGCCACCTAACTGTAACCCGTTTATCTAGGGGAGCGGACGCGGCATCACACACAGGAGCCGGATCATCTGCTGCCAGTGTTCAGAGGTGATAACACAGCTGTTTGGCCTTGAAAGTAGAAGCCTTTCAGAGGTCACTAACGCCATCTAGCAGCATTAAAGGACACTGCAGTCTGATCAGTTCTGGCGGATCAATGGAGCTGAGCATGACCGGCTGCTGGTGTGAGCTTAGAACTCCAGAAAGCGGAAAGTTAGTTACATCATTTCTATCATCATAAACTGGCAGGATGTGGCAACATGTATAAATAATGGCATCTTTGGATATTAACATTTCTATTGAAATGTATCTAAAGATCCAGTTACGTATGCAGAGATTCAATTTTGACAATTTGAAAACAATTTGAAGTGACCCCTCCCCCCACACAAAACCTCAATATGAAGAATTCACCTCCATAATGAGCTCCCAGTGCAGCACCAGTGTGGGTCTGCTGTCGGCTGGGAGCAGGGAAGCCTCGGGCTGTGTCTTTAATCAGAGCGGAGGGATTTCCTTGATGCCAGAGGGGTCGGCAGAGAAGGACACGTTAAACACATCACCACTGAGCCATGTGGTACTTCTCTGCTCTGCCCAGGTGCGTATGCCCCCTCCAGCTATCCGAGTGTGGCCCGCCTTTGAAGGGGGGGGGGGGGGGTACAGGTGTTTGCAATTATCAGTGCGCTAAGAGGCACAAAGTGTGGATAAGTGCCATCATTTTGAATTTCCATCACACCTTTTTACAGGGGGCCATGCATCCCCGTTTGATTTGAGCCATGTGTGTGCCTGTGCATACGTGTCCGCGGCCGGGTGCGGACGTGCCTGGCTAAAGGGCACGGTGGGTGAAGCCCCGGGGAGTTGAAAAGGGGGCCGGGGGAAGTTCAAGGAAAGGCCTGTCACACAGGGCACCGGCCGGCGTCCTGTGGACCAGACGGCCTCTCCACACGAGCGGACCTCGCAGCCGCACGCCCAACGTTCCCACGGCGTTCCCACAGCATTCCAGCTGTGCTCGCGCCGCTGTCCAGCTTCCTGCCCCGAGCCCCGAGGCCACAGCTGGACGCGGGACGTCTGGGAGGCACGTGGTGTGACCCGGACAACACCCAGCTGCCGAGCCCTCCCACCCTGCCTTCTGTGCCTCCCCCCCCCCA